ATGAACTTATTTTTTTGTTACAAAAACAGAAGTAACAAATATAAAAACAACAGAAATAATTTCATCACGAATTTTAAAAAAGCTTTGAGAAGGTTACAGATTAGATTTTATCCTTATTAATGCCAAATATTCTACTTATTTTGAAGTAATAATTTTTTCAGATTTCTTCACTCATAAATTTTTACTGTCCTAGGTATTTACCGGTCGTGGTATATACCAACTTATTCCAGTAATTACTGCCTATTAGATTAAAACATATAATAAAAAATTTCCCATTTGCTTTAACCCTCCTAGTGGATGCTGCAGGTTTGTAATAATAATGTACCATCTAGGATTTCGCCTTAGCACAATCAAGAACGTAATTTAGAATTACTGAAACACTGATTAGTAAAGTGTAAGGAGTCATAAAGACGAACATGTGAATAATCTAAAATACACTAACAAAATTCAATATAACTTTAGAGCCATTACAAATATTTTCTTATTGGCCTAAAAGAATATGCATAAACCTAAAAATTGGTAAATGTTTGGCAACTGCTTTGTAAAGCTTATTATTTCCAACACTAAATTTTCCCTGGTCACCAAAGGTATAGTACAAGTGTTTATACAGCATTTATTCAATGCTGTCGATGATACCTCTGATTACATACATTTTTCCAGCCTCTGCTGAATATATATACAGTGTAGATTATTTACAACATATGAATTGAAATGTATTGGTAGCTACGGATTAAGAGGGTATTCCTTTTTTTATAAATATTTCTAAGCAGTTTCTATTTCATCACAGGATATAGTAAATTCTCATAAAAACCACACTGTATTTACATTAATTTAGTTATCTTCTATAAAGAAATAGTTAACAAAGTAATAATTAAATAACACTTAACTACATTTAAATCTAACACTAATATTTGCAACACTGTAATCGATAGCATCCCAAAGTACTAGGTAATCGTACACAAAACAAATATCATTAACATATTTTTAAAACAAAATTGGTAAGTCACAACAAATATTTTTTTGCACGAGTAATTGGTACGAATTTATAAAAAAATATAGTAATTATACAGGGTGTTTTAGAATATGTACTGCAAATTCAAAGGGTAACAAAATATTGAAAAATAAGCTGATTCTTTCATATGAACTATGGATCATCATGTTTTCAAGATACAGAATATTTTTTTTGTAACAAATTTTCCCAAAATAATAGATAATGTATATTGAAAAAGCATAGACTGATATGACAATTTTTTTTATGCCAAATATTTTCCAAAGTATTTCAAAAAGAGGCAATTGTTTCAAAGAGACATATTCTTTGTATTGTAAAGTATATATCAGGTTAGACATTTGTATTTCAGGATATAACTCGTATTTCAGGTAGTATTAAATGCATTTGAAAATTCGTGAAATGCATTTGAGAAAATGAAATTAAAGTTGACTTGAAGTTAGTCATTTATCAAATATTACAAAAATGATTGACATTTTTTGTGTCGAGTTACTTTCAAATTTTTCAAATAAAGAATTAAAGATATGGAAATTACAATTTTTATAAAATCCAGTACGTGGACATATATACAAAACGAGAAAATGCAAAAATAGTTTAGAAATACATAACAAATATATCAAAAAACCAGTTGAGGTAAGTAGAAGTTTCGAAATTTAAAAGGTATAGTTGTTACGATGTCAATTGGAACCTGTAAATCTTAAAGTACAGGACCGAATGCACTTCTGAAATTTCTTCCTATGCTTTGACCATGATGTGTCTCGTAATTTATACTCGAATAGCAATTCGGAATTGACGGCGGCGCGCTGGTCATCAAAGCCAAACTGTATTGGTCCACTAGGTCGTAAATAATTTTTTTGTATGGTACACGGGTTCACTTAGCTTTGCCGCTTTGCCAGTGCAGTGCAGAGCATTGCTTGGTGGGGTATGTTGTTGGTATAATACGTATTATTATTTATTAGTTGATATTATTATTTGTTCATATCGTAACCAGTAAAGGGCAATAGTTATTAAAATAAAAGTTATATGTAATTATCTAGTAATTTAGCGTGGCTCTCTGAAGACTCTTTGAAGCGGGGGATAACAAAATAACTCGGGAAAATCCCCAAATAGTGGAACTGGCTTTTGTCGAAAGTATTGAAACAAACTCAAGAGTTTAAAAACAAAGATTTACACGTAAAAAGTCAACGTATTATATTAAATATATGTTTGAAAATTGAAAATAGTGAACAATGTGATAAAAAAGATAGGAAACAGCTTAACGAATTAACGAAGATATCAAAAACGACAATTTATAGCATAATTAAAGAAGGATTGATCATGGTACAAAGAGGATAAGGAAAAATACAAAATTAAAGAAAATTGACGATTTTACCGGATGTAATGCGGCGCACAATTTATAATATGTATTAAAAAAAATAAAGACTAAACATGATTCGAGATGAATTAAGCGATTAGCCTGATTATAATTATAAATCTTATAGATATTTTATGACATGCTTTATTACAATGCGATTTTAAACATAAAAAACTTGACAATCGTATGGTAATTATATGGTAATATAGCTCGGAATATAGCATATCTAGACGAGACAGGGTTAAATTTTTCTGGACGTCTATGGATTCCGTAGAATTTATGAATTAAATGTTTTTATGCGGTTCCAATTGAGATTGTAACAACTATACCGTTAAATGACCAAAACTGACCAGTAACATTCTCTGGTAAGTCTGATTTATAAATGACCAGTCATTTAGCCATCATTAGAAATCCATTAAATACATCAACAATAATTCGGTTCTATATTTTTTAATAAAAAAATTCTTTTCGATGTGGCCGAAATATTCAAATAGAAAAGCAACAAAATATAGCATAAAATATTTTTCATTGGCATGTTAATGATAATTATTATTATCTCAGTATCACAGCTTTATGCGATACATATAAACAAATACATTCGTACAATTAAAAATTAACAAAATCTGAAACAAGTTTTATGATTTCGGAAAAACAACTTATACTTTGTCAAAAGTAACAGATGTCGTATAAAATATGTACATATGATTAATCCGAAATACACGCAGCAGCCCCTAAAATTAATTTTACCAATATGAAATTGAAATGATGCTCTCGGAAATATAATTGACACTTTCTGAAATACGTTTGGCATAAGTGTAGTAAACATTATTTAATTTTTGCAGCGATAAAATAATATCGCCTAATAAATACTTGTAAAAACTTAACATAAAACAAAAAACTTACACACCATGTGAATATTGTGGAAGACTAAAATAACGAATAGATTTGTGCTTGTAACGAACTTAAAGATCGAGGTTTTCTTTAGAAAAAGAATAAATGTATGCATTCACAAAAATGATATTTTGAATATCTGATGTAATAGATTTTTCTTTATTCTTAACACACGATTTTTAAAAAATCACCAAATTTTTATTTTATATATCTTCTGCATTGGTAAAAATTTCTTATTACTTACTTATTACTTTTTGTAATTATATTGATAGGCGATATTGGGGCAATTAAAATATGGCACCCATATTCACATTTTCTTTTTTTCAAATATTAAAACAGTTTACAAAATTTTATCAGAAGTAGGGGAATGTCGGGTAGCCCCGGACGGCGAGTAACCGCAGACATTTAAATTTCTAAGAAACCAATAATGTTGTGCAAGCAAAACTTAATTTTAATTATGTGTCCTATAGAGTAAATACAAATACAACTCAGATGCGGTGAGGGCACCAAGTGAATTGAACGCTAGTGTGTTTTGTTCCCGACAAAAATTTTTCGTTGCTCCAAATTTCATTAGAGGTTATCGAGCATAATAACTAAGTATACGTACTTGTCTATTGTTTGATGTTGTAGGAAATTTTATATCTTTAAAGTTTATAATAGTATTTTTTACATTTCTTGTATAATTTAAGAGTTGTGACTAAAAATGTTGCATGATAGTGATCGGGTACCCCCAGACATTGCTTTAAGTTTTGAATTTTGCAATATTGTTTTAACGACCTACAATTGCTTCGTCAATTTGTTTATTTATGAAAATTATTTTAAAATGATTTTTATTGTTGTAGAAATTTGCCGAAATTTAAGGAGATAATAGAAGAAATAATAATGGAGGAAAGACATTCTTAATCCTTTAGCAGCCAATTCTTCATTGCCAGTACCTTCCATACATTGCCTGCAACTGAACCGGTGCCTTCATCTAGCATGACAGATTTAATCAATCCGTTGTTGTCATTTCCTGACGGGTCAAAAAAACGCGGGCTTGAAAAACCTAAAATAGCGAAATTTTGACCTCTTCACAATATAAAAAAATGTAGAGGGCATACAGAAAAGTAAAGGCAATAAAAAGGACGAAGCAAAAAAACAAAAAGCAAAAGCACTAAAAAGACGTTGAAGATAACAAAAAATTTCAATCTTATAAAGAAGATCGAAGAAAAGAGATTGGATGCATCATATGTGGCGAAACTTTTAAAGAAGACTGAATTCAGTGCTATGAATGCAACGACTGGACCCATATGAAGACTGTGTTCATATGGACTCTTCAGATATTCATTACTATTGTGATATTTGTAAGGCCAAGATACGATTGGACTACCATTGATTACTGTGTCTGGAGCTGCCTGCCATCTTTGGTGTTGCCAAAAAATTAAGGCCAAAGTATTTTTAATATATTTCTTTAAAAATTTTTATTATGATTAATAATTTTTAATTAATATGGTTGAAAAAGTTCCTAGTTTGATTTTAAGTTTAAAAGTAAAGACAGAAAAGAATGGCCGCAAAAAACCTGTGATTTTCGCCCGTTTTTTCACAATTCGCAGAGAATTAAAAAAAATACATAAAAATATGTTTTTGGTCGCAAATTACTTGTAAAAAACTGAAATGAGCATAGCCTTTAGTATTTTGAAAATTTTAAAAATCACCCCTACTTAGGGGTTGAAAAAATGCCAAAAATGAAGAATTTGAATATTACCCGACTTATCTTAACATATGTATTTTTCTTAGAATTTTTACAATTACTTCTGATATTCTCTATTTTTGGGAATGATTTCACCCCCTGAGCACGCTTAAGGGTGGATTTTCTAATTCAACATGCTTATTTCAGTGATGAGAACGTATCTTTCTTTGTATCGTATTTTTATTTACAATTCATTTAAGTGTCCGGGGCTACCCGACTTTCCCCTATATCCAAAATCCTAACCAAGTTGTAAACGAAAATATTCCTAGATTGTAGCATAACAAATGTTCTTATAACCTATATGAAAATTAATAAAAGGTAATTAAGATGTGCTAATGCCTACCAAAAAACCTAGACAGATCTTCGGCCTCTCCTGTGGTACAGGCCGCCCTGGGCAATCGCCCCCTACGTCCTTAGGAACACCCTTATTCCATACGTCCCTGTATGGAATACTTTTGAATATATCGACAAGATTTATTAAAAAAGAAAAAAAATACTAATTTTAACATTTTATATCTTGAAAACAGAAAAACAAACCCGTAGTATATTGGGAAAAATCTCATTTTTAATATTCAATTACCCAAGAATTTAAGGTATGTTATTCTGAAACGCTGAATTTATATACCATTTCACACAATTTATTATAACATGGAGTTTGTCAAATTTCTCTCAATTTTGAAATTAATAAGTTGAATTAAACTTTGGTTGAACATCCAACAAATTTAAATAATTATTTTTTACTATTTTCTTCGACAGACATCCATATTTACATTTTGTAAGATGCTGAGTAAAAATATGCTTATTAAATTCATTTGAGGTTGTACGACCAGTGCTGTCCTTCCCTCATATTGTTGCTTTTTATTTTTTAACCTATTATCTGTTCTTTGAGTACCTCAAATAATAAGTAATTTTGTCAATCCACGTCTATTTATTAAGCATAGTAAAAATTTTAGTCAACATAATTTTTAGAGTTTAAAAAAAATTGTAATTTTGTCACGATTTATCCTTAACTATTAAACATTTCACAGAAACATATGTATACAAAATCATTTCTTCCAGATTTTGCATGTCCAGTTATTTAAATATGTTATCGATCAGTTCATCAGATTCAAATTTAAAAGCAAAAAAAATGTATCATTTACTTAGCTTTGGTTTAACCTCCTGCAAAATATGTATACAGCTCGACATTGTGGCACAGATTTCAATCCTGTACTGTTATATAAATAAAAATGTTTATGCTGAATCTTCATTATTACACTCAGCATGCTGCTTACTATCTCTTTCACACCTTTAAATGTAATAATAATCTGAAATATCATAAAAATTTAACTTGGGGTTTCCGTCATTTCTTGATCGTTTTTGGAAACTATCATAGGCTCTGCTGGCATTGCACGGCTAGGGGAAGGGCTATCTACATTTCTAAAATTAAACCCTGGCGAATCGGCGCTAGACAGAGACTCAGGAGTCCCCACTGAACTTAACGACCCAGGCGGTAAGGAATTACCAGTTGTAAGTAGACCACCCCTGTCAATACCTGAATAACTGTAAAACCTTTTTGCCCTAGGACTTGCGTGAAAGTCCAGTTTGTCATCATCGAGTTTTCTTTTAATTCTGAGTGGACTCGGCCTGAGGACTGGACTGGCACTGCGCCTGATAGTGATCGTTCTAGACCTAGTCGGACTTTGGAAACCAGTTCGGGTGGGAGACGGAGAGTTACATATTAAACCGGTGGAAGGTGGTAGTGATATTTGCAAAAGTCCCATTTTTCCAGTTTTTACTTCATTTGAATCTGACATTAAATTCAAATCTTCCCAAGACTGAGATATTTGCATGGCGTGGTGGACCTCTCGTTCATGTATCACTTCTCTACTATTGCTTATCCCTTCATGCTCTTCTTGCCGTAACTGGTTGATTCTAGGAGTCAATCGAAGACCAGAAACCTGTTAAAAAAAGTTTGTGTTTACGTTTAAAATATACATTTGATCAAAAAATTCTTTAATAAAAAAAATAGAGTAATGGAAATAAGCAAAGCATATAGAAAGTTACAAAACTTTTCTCGATCTAAAATCTTGATGTAAATAAATTGTGTATAGTAATTTTTTTTCCTGCAGTTTTATTTTTTAGTACCAAAAAAAGTCAGTCTAAAATGTAGTGACTTAATATTGCAAAAACCATTAAAATATTTATACTTATTCCACTAAATAATCAAGAGTTTATTTGATCCTGCGTAAGTAATATAATATTGTATGTAACTAACATAATACGACATAAAAAAATATTTATCCAAATTCTCAGACAAATATTTGGACAACTATTATTTACTACGAATTCTTCCGATTTTTAGTTAAGTACCTAATTTAGCACAACATAATGACAGCAAGCACATTGTAAATCCCATATTAAAAGTGCATGCAACTGATTATTTTTAAAGTAAATACAAATATAAACATTTAAAATTCTGGGATTAAACAACAAGATTTAAGATTCACGATATTTAATACACCATATAACAGCTACATACTCCACAGAGAAATTAGTTAAATTTGAAAAGAAAAAAACCAAGTTATAACCTTTCTCTAATCAGCTAGATAAAAATGAGGCAATGGTGATTGCAAATCATTTAATATTCACATAACTTACTGGTGAACCTGGAACTTGACTAAAGCTTGCACTAAACCTTCTTGTCCTTGTTTGGGAAGAAGATCCAAATAAGTTATTAAAGGGTTGTTGGTCCCTAAATCAAAACATACAAGGGTCACCCAAGGGGTCAAATTAAGTACCTAGATTTGCCAGGCAGGCAGTTTACCTGTTAGATGTTGTAGAAGCATTAGTCGTAGTCATTACAGAATTTACTTCGTTGATCATGGGGGCACTAGAGCATCGTTTCAGAGTGCCGGGTCCGTTGGTCGGACCGTCAACGTCCATAGCTACAGACTGGGAATTTATTGATGACATTCAGGATCCTTGTCACCAACCTGATATTATTTAATGGTAACATTTGACCCCTGCTACTCATGGAAATTAGCACTCCATTTACGTCGAGAATTTATCCTGTACATTCAATTTTTAGCCACTCGATAAACTTGACAGATAATTTACTTATTGAAGCGTTTCTTCAGACATCGTCCTGTCAAAAAACTTTTGCAGCAGAGCACGCGGCGCATGTCCTGAAATCCAGATTTCGAGACACAGACCGGAGTTTTCAGAGTAACTAAATTTAGAATTTTTTGTGTAGACAATTGATACAGCTATTGATTGATAGATGCCGCTGGTGCAATTACCAATTTAAATGTTTGAAAAAGGCAACGTTATTAAAAATATATACAAACTTAAAATTGTGTCAGTGTTTTGAAAATATAATTGTTATAAGTTTAACATCCATAAGGTAAAAAATGATTTTACTATTAATGTTATTGTCTTTCTTTGACTAATATGGCTGATTGCATTAAATTACAATTTTAGGATGCAATCAAATTGCAAAATAGTTTACCTACGACGACTACTGTAAATACTTAAAAACACACCGTCTGTGATCAATGTAAGATTCCTATTACGTACGGTAAAAAAATCGTACAGTTTTCCTAGCAACGGCCAATACAATACTGTTTGTATTGACCGTTGCTAGGAAAACTGTACGATTTTTTTACCAAGCTGTGCGTTTTTTTTACCGTACGACGTAATAGTAATCTTGCATTGATCGCAGACGATGTGTTTTTAAGTATTTAAAGTAGTGGTCGTAGGTAAAGTATAGTACGTAATACGTGGTGTAATGCAATTACGCACTCATAGAATTACGCATTCGCCGCTACGCGGCATCGTGGGTAACTTTTCCATTCGTGCGTAAAATACTTTTTAACACTTATTACGTAATATACTATTACAATACAATAATTGACAGGTATTTAAAACATTACTTTGGAGCCTAAGAAAATATACTAAAACGTTAAATTAAATTGTCCTTAGTAGCAATATTTTTATTACAGTAATTGATTAAATTATTTACAATGTAATTTTTTAAGTAACTATATAATAAAATTATAAATATAATTTCATGATTCGCCATAGAATGTAATTACTGTTTCTGTTTTTGTTTCGGAAATGGCGGATTCCTTCCACCTTGTCCGCCAGCTTTGCCAGCTCGTCCTCCAAAATTACCTAAAATTAAATTTAATATTTAATTAAACACAAAATATGAATTCTTAATGAAATTGTTTTCTCAAAATCTCTGAAAAATACCTACATCATATTAGGAATACCTACTCTTTTTTTCTATTTATTCAAGACAAAAACAAAAAAAAGATATTTCCTTAAACTTTGTGACTTTTTTATTATTTATATCTTACGTCCACAAATAGTTCACGATCTTTTTCCATGTTGAGGGTATCTTTACCAGTTCTTATTGTACATTTTTCACATGTACAAAAATCCATTGTGCAAATTTAACTGGTTTTCCAAGCCTTACCTTAGAGTTCGGCTACTGCAGCTTCCCATGCATTCAATTACTTTTTGTGCTCAACAATTAGTTATGAAGTATTTGCAGACGTAAAATATGTCATCTAAAAAATTAGACCCACTATTACTGTGTCAGTCAAAAAGTAAAAAATGATTGCATGAAATATACCTACGTGAAAACTCGTTAGTTGAGAATTTATACACGATAAAAAATATTTTACCTCTAGCAGCCGGTCGGTTGCGTTGATTTTGACCACTTCGGCCACCTTTTACATCTGTTCTACCTCTATTTTTAACTACCGTTTCTTCCTTAACCATATCAATTACTTCATCTGGGATTCGCAGGTACTTTATTGTACTTCCACGAATATAGCATTCTGGCATTCGCCAAAACTTATCACCGTCCTAAGATGTAAAATATAAATTACTATTACAAAAATTAGTAAAAACATTTTTATACCCGTGATGTACATATGACTTCACGTAAATTAATATTCATCCAATTGTCGCAGCTAACTAAATGTCCATTATATGTTTCGCCGTTTTTCAACTCCACTAGCTGCAATAAGAAATGATTGACAAAAGGTATTTGGATTGTTTAAACGAAAATTAAAATTACCATAGGATGATTTTGTGCTGTTCTAAGAAGTGATAGCGGCAACTAAAAATAAGATAATAAGAAATTTGTATAAATTTGTAGTTTATACATACTAACCATGTTGTAAACTGTTTATTCAAAAAACGCTTAACAAACGTACAAAAAAATAACCTGCAATTTAACAAGTCAAAAATCATAAAACTTATAAAACATAATTTAAACATAGAACACCAATCCTCAGGGAACTCGGCCTCGGTATCATAGACCTTATAAACTACTGGACTCGTCTAATTGTCATTTTGCCTAAATAAACGGCAATCGCACAGACGTGTGCGAGAGAGGTACGCCATTATTCTATGGCTAGAAATTGGCCTCAATGATTTGGGATCGAGGGGGATTATCCCTCTTTATCCTGCCTCATCTCGTGTAGGCCTGGACAGCCTTCGTAGGTGGGCCCCATCCGTCGTCTACCCCGACCGCAAATGCGGCCGGTGTAGGCGCTTTGTGGGACCTCCTTTTGTCCTGGCTGGGCCCCGCCGGCTAGGGCCCTTTCTTCTGGCGCTCTTCTTGCTTCGCCGGCTCGTCTGTGTAAACCCCGGGGGTAGTGTCATGTTTATGTGTGGTATGGTTGGGTAGGGTAGTGCGGCTATGCAGCCTGGGATGCGCTTTGCTAAGG